GTGCCACCGAAACACACCACTTCTTGCTAAAGCAACATCTGGGTAAGCCTGTTTGATCATATTAAACGTCTCTGTCGCAGATTTACCGAGTTTCACACAGAATTTAATCGCTTACCTCTGCTCTAACGAACGCTGCATTTTCGGCTTGCACCACTCACAGAAACACGTCGCGCGAAAAAGCCTGTTCTGACTCTCCAGGTGCTCGGAGACAACTCACCAGCCACTCGTTCATTAGCTAAGAATGCCCTCTACCGAATCCAGTCGGTGTGCGTACGCTTCGAAGTACAGTCGCGGCGGAAGAAAATCAGTCCTATTACCTTCCGGACAATCCCTGTACAATAAACTCTTCAAATTTTAAAATATCCTTTCTCTTTTGTTTTTTAGAGTTCATTTGAAGATAGTAGTTCCTCATCTCATCAAACATCTCACCCATACACATACAGTGTATGTTCATAAACCGAAACCAAGTTATCATGTACAACCAATTTACAACTATTATAAACCTCCTTACAAGTACAGCACAATCTACGGGAGGAATTATTTAAACAAGCCAAGTCCACCAAGATACGCTCCGGATTATCCTGTAACTAAACTAATACCTGTTGTATCAAAACCCATATTTGTAATTAACCCGAGTCGTCCGAAGCCAGTGGATGATGGTAGACACGATTTTTATGCGGTATCTGAGGATCCGAATCCTGTAGACGATGAGTTCGAAAAAACCATAAAACAACACAAATATAAAGACGTAAAGGATTACAAGAAGTTCCACAAGAAAGAGGAATATGATTTTAAAAAGGGCAAAAATTTTGAACGCCATCATAACAAGGATTACGATTTTGGGCACGAGCATGGAAAGCACGGAAAGAATGTTTTTGGGCATGACGGACATTATATGAAAAATCATAAAATATTACAGTCAGGTGATTATAAAGTTGATCCAGACCTGGTGGTGTTTACAGAAAAGTCTCCAATTGTGATGAGTGATCCCGAATTACAAACTGTTTCAATAACGGATGTTTCTGAAGGTATTCAAGACCATCATGGACTTGTTGAAGAGGATCCGATGCCTGGCAGAAATGACTCAAGCAATTACGTTTACGACAGCGGTACTTTTCTGGATGTCAATCCTGTTAATGTCGACAGTGTCAACAAGAATAACGTAGAGTCAGATTATTTGGATCCAAATGATGATGAGGGTCTAAAACAATACGAAGTAACGGAAAATTATAGTGAAGAACAAGAATATTCTGCACCAGGTCCAGAAGAAGAAGAAAAAGTTGACCTAAGAGATGCTCAAATCATTAATGGGCCCGATCAACCTCTTTACAATACAGCTGGTCGTTCTAACGGATATAATTCTCCGAAAATATCAGTTAAATGTAGTCCCTTAAACATATATATCGTAATAAGCAATGTCGTCAAAAGCAGTGTTTTTTATAAGGCGGTCTAATAGAATTCAGCCGGGAATTCATGATTTTGGTCAATATAACCTGTATGTTGTTCTAAACAATGTCATCATAAACGGTTTGGACTGTACTTATTGTTGGAGTTTTTAAGCTGTAGTGATAATTTCATTACAGACAGTCATTAAGCAATTTTAATTAGACTTCAAACACGGTTCGGTAGGTATATTTATTATTAAACAAAAAGAAAATAAATGAAATAAAAACGTCGTTGAGTATAATTACATTTAATTAAAATAGTATTCAATTATTATTATTGTTGGTAAATACTTTTCAAACATATTCTTCCCTCTGTCTAGTTGACCGTAATAAGTATTAGAAATCATGGTTTGTTCTAGAAATATTGTAAGTACCATGGATACGGTTTTATTTCCATATTGCCTTAAAAATCTGTAATAAAAAGTACCCACGGTTACTGAGCGGCTTCTACACATGGTTTCATGCCTTTTTAATTCGTCCATATCCAGCAATTATGTCGCAGATAATGTTAAAACGCATTCATGACTTCGTACATAGGAGAGAGCGAATTTCACTCTCTACGCTAGGAAAGAAATATCTAATTCATATTGATATAAAAGGTGGTGGTACACCACGCAAAGCTCTTGCCTACCTGATGCCTTTTACAAACATCACACTACCTACCTATATAAAGTCACAAATGATCTAAATGAATTTAGTATAATCTATTTTGCAGTCTTCAACTGCTGCTTAGTGGAGAGACTCACTCAACCTCTTAGCCAAAATGAGTTTGAAAAAATTGGTAATTATATATATATTTTGTTTTAATTGTCGGATCAATTGTTATTACTTATCACTCATTCGAAATTGTTTCAGTTCTTGTGCTGTTTTTTGATGGTGGTTCTTTTTGTCAACTCCTTCGTTGATGCTGGTGGTGATAAAGGGTAAGAAAAGTACTTTAATTGTAACCATCGTGATATTCATTGTTAAACCTAGTTGCAGTAGTTTATATTATTTGATTACTAAATATTTTTTTTGTACTAATGGGAGAATAGTTTAAAAAGAATTTGCTAAAAAAGTGAAATATATTAAACCAAGCAGCCGAATCTTTCCAAATTTGGTCAAATATTATCAACTTTAAACGTCAAGGTTTTAAAGTTAGAATGAATACGTCGTAGTGAGCAATTGTTAATTGAAGCTCTGATTAAATGATAACATCCTACTTATCGAAAGTAAGCCTAAGGAATCTTACCATCTTTTATTTAGTTTGACGTTTCAATAGGCAGCAAGTTTTAGAACATTGTATAACGAGAGGACATAGACGCATCGATTGTGTTTACATGGTAAAAACGCCTTTATAGGTGTTTTAATTCGGTAAAACCTTTTAAACTGCTTAATAAAATAGGATAGAAATTTACATTTGCAAAATCGGAGTCCCGTAAAAAATTAATTGGACTTCTCTACGCCATTTCACGCATCTTTACCGAAAATTCTTGGCCATTTTCTCCACAACTAACTGAGACATTAATAAGTAAACTTACGGATGATCATAATTAAATATGCAATAGCGAAGAGTGAAAGATAAATTCTGTGAATGATTTTGCTTGATTGTAATCAACAACTCCACATACGCGAAAACCTTACTCTATTAATTTGGTTGTTTGGGTAATAATCTGATGATGAAAAAGATCAATTAGTTCAATCAGTGCGGAACTGATCTCTATTTTTAAACAACCAAAGAATGAATTTGTGATAAAATAACATCTGACACGTGTCGTTAACGAAAAAGTAATCGTTAAAACGTTGACCTGCAGATAGATTGTTATCTACTTCTATACTTCCTGAACGGGTCTTTTGGTTGTGTATAAAATCTATTAAGAGTGATACAATAAGTGAGAGTAATCTGGTTTTTGTTTGCGAAGTACGTGGCATTCACTTTAATTACGATATTATCACAGTTTGGAGACATGGTACAAAGCGTTTGTTTGTAATCTTTCGTGTTTAACAACGAATGTATGTAACATATAGTTGTAACATTCAAAATTGGCCTAGTCAGCAATAAAACTGTAGCATTTTATTTATTCTCTGAACTTACTAATTAGACTAGAGCGGTTGCTGACAGAACGCCTACTTTTACTCACGGAACACGTTGTAGGGAATGTCGTAAACATAGAAAAGAGATGCCAACTAGGAATTGCAGCGGGCACTTATAAAGAAAAAGCGATAACATTACACCAATTAATGCGTAACAGAAAGAGATGCAGACAAGCAGAATTTGAGCATGTTGCCAGCATCGGACTTTAAAGAAATAGCAATGCAAAGAAACTTGTTTAAACATATACTTCCAACTGGGCAGTTATAAAGCCGACCCTGATCTTTTGCGTATCTAAACAACCTCTAACCGCTGCACTCCTTACTATTATTTAGTTAACTCTTTTCACTTTGTTTCTACTACTCATATCCTAACAAGGGCGTGTTCAAAATGTAGCAAATGACTACAGTCTCAAGTGGAAACAAGAAAGGAGATACAACCCATTTCAATTTGTTAGAATTGTGACATTGAAGAAATCTGCGCGAAGATAGAAAGAATACACACTAAGCGTGAGCAAGACAGAAATAGTTGGAACAAGCTTGAACGAGCAGAGCTCTCGATGGGCGGTCTTAGGAGATCGGCTAGAACTGTACAGTGCTAGACGAAAATGTTTAGCAATTTCTTAAAACAAAAATGTCTATAAATTAATAATAGAAAACAAATCAAAAGTTGTATAGGTGTGTAGAGCGTTAAGTTAATTCACATGTTATTATTTTTGGCTAAATATGAATAAAGCATATTCTTAAATTTTAACGAGGCAGTTTAAATAATTTTGCAAACGGTACTGTACACTCTTGTCTAGTTCTCGCTCGATGATCGGTGGAGAAATGAGCTCCGCAGACAAATATGATTGAATTTGGAATTATGCTACGGCGCATCCTAATAAAGGGAAGGGGCATATCTCTAACTTCTTGAAACGAAGAGTACGTCCATTCTCACAGGTGATTTATTACAGACTTTGCCAATTTTGATTGTCTCAACTATAGATGAGTTGTTTTCCAAGTAGATGGGCCTCGGTTTGCTGGGTATATAGTTGTCCCCAACAACTTACAAAAAATATACTATTTTATCGTATTCATGTATCCTCAAACTGTCTTCCGAATTATCAATGGTTCTGGATTCTTCAACTGTGTTTTTTTAGTAGGATGTTTAATCATGATTGAGCTTTTATAGTTAAGTCGTTTCCCTGACAATCTGGGATCTCCCGTTGTTGCGCCCACGACTGAGAGGTTTATTGATATTTTAATTAATATGTAATGTTTTCCGTTATTAAGATGGTTCTTTGAGAATAAGCCTACGATAATTTATGCTTTATCTAAATAATAATTACTTTCACTGTTACAGCAAGCACGTCTTGGTCAAAGTAAAGTACCCTGTGAAGGAAATAAAACATACCCACACCATTTACAAGACTATTCACCACTATCCAAAAGAAGAACACGATGAACATGATCACGGTCACGAATTTCAGGGATGGCATGGATAAATTCGATTCATCGTACTAGAAAATTTCCGTAAATAATCGCTTCTATTGTATCAATGTGACGCTCAATTTATCGATCCAGTTTTTATAACTTTTTTATTCCAAAAACATTGTATAGCTAGTTTAAAATCTCATGAGCCTTCGCGTGAACTAGAAGTAGACGTCATATCTTTCATACTATAGGTACATTTACTTGACTCTCAGCCATGTACCTCACTATACAAGTAGAAATTGACCTCTAGATAGACGTCAAACAGTGACAAGCAATGCTTTTAAAAAGTAGAACGGTAGATATTAACCCAATCAAGCAACCCAAGGTCAAGGTTCATTAGATTCTGAACTACCTCTACTATAAATTTCACGCAGGACCTATTGAAATGTTAATGAATTGTTCGGCAATTATTCACTGTATATACTTTTTTTTACCCATACCTACCATTTGCATGGTCGTTTCTTTACCAACGTTTCAGTATTACGTATCCAGTAACCGAATAGTTTAATTTTTGACGTGTAAACTTTGTTAAATAGTGTACGTATTATTATCTAATTGAGTATCGCAATCCCCATTTCATCATTCATCAAACAACTATCAAATGATGTAGAATATTATTATCTGTGATTTGTTACCATACCTTTGTTGTTTGTTTTGTTTTTTTTTGTTAACCCCGTAGCAATAAATGGCGCGTACAAATTTCTGTATTTGAGCACTAATAAAAATATCTCATGTGTAATATATTACATACCTACCTACTTACAGATTTTTATTTCTTCCTTTGCGTTAATTTAGTTCAATATCTTAATGCTAATTTTTGATCGGGCTAGGCTAATGTGAATACCTCTTTTACTCAATGACAACATAAAGGTAACGTAGAACAAACAAAATACTAGCTCAAAATCTCAACGCCAAAACACGACACTGTAGTTGTCCGAAGCACTTTTCGGTAACTCAGTCGCTGAAGCAGGTAATTTTGTTACCGAAAAGTGCTTCGGACAACTACAGTGTCGTGTTTTGGCGTTGGGGGTTTGAGCTATTTTGTTTATTCCGCAACAACCGCCAAAGTTTTTCCAATCTTCATGTAAAGGTAACATATTCAGAATATTATTTGGTTAGAAGGAGATACTAAGGACATGTTCGATTTACAACTGACAATTTCTTCAGTTACTTTACTAGTTACATAATAAATATACATTAAGCATTATTTCTGACTATAACCTTTGATAATAACAATTCCCACAAAAGAAAAGTAATTATTTGATAAATATAGGTTTGTAATCACTGTGGTTGCTAGTTGATTTTGCATTGTTTTTAATAAATGAGAAACAAAAAGGTTATGACTGTTATGAAGTAACAAGTTTTAGTTTTTGAAGAAAATCCTATAGATGATAAAGTATTGTAATCACTGTGGTTGCTAGTTGATTTTGCATTGTTTTTAATAAATGAGAAACAAAAAGGTTATGACTGTTATGAAGTAACAAGTTTTAGTTTTTGAAGAAAATCCTATAGATGATAAAAAGATAAGAAAATTATTTTTTAGGCATTAAAGCACTGATGTTTTTGTTTCTGTTTGGCATGTTATAAATTTTGACAAGCAAGAACATGATTTGTTCTTTTGTTAGGTAATTTTAATTTGGGCAGTAAGGTTATAATTTGCCCTCATAGGGTGTGCGTCTTTAATTTTTATTGATATATCTACTATTTAAAATTTTTGATTAGTTTAGTACAGGGTCAACATTAACACTTTTAAGTAACATTGTTTGTTATTAGCAGCTCATAGGATAGAAACAACAATATTTGTTTATTAAATAAATTATTACTACGCTTGTTCATTAAAATTTTAGAAACAAAGTAATTTATTGCGTAAAATACTTTAATTGTTTACTAATTATACATCCNAACGGATATAATTCTCCGAAAATATCAGTTAAATGTAGTCCCTTAAACATATATATCGTAATAAGCAATGTCGTCAAAAGCAGTGTTTTTTATAAGGCGGTCTAATAGAATTCAGCCGGGAATTCATGATTTTGGTCAATATAACCTGTATGTTGTTCTAAACAATGTCATCATAAACGGTTTGGACTGTACTTATTGTTGGAGTTTTTAAGCTGTAGTGATAATTTCATTGCATTAAATACACTTTATTTACTATTAAATACAAATATAATTTGCTGTTATGACATTTTTGCTGTAATTTTCTGAAAGAAGGCAGCAAAGGTGATGTTAAGAAATTGGTTCTGCTAAACTGATCCAGCAAACAACTATTGTTGTTGGTATATTTTGCGGTTAGTAACGGTCGACTTTTCTCTGATTTTATTTTGCGTTTGCTGGAATCCTATGTAAAAGAAGCACATTACAGTCAGGCTTCCGGTTAATAAGCAATTGGTTTCAGGTATTCGTTTTCGGATTTCCGTAATGCTCTGCGAATACTCTTCTTGGTTGATTGTGTCGCTTAATGAACAACTGAACTGTGGTTTTGCAACAGTTATTTAAGTAAAGGCAGAACAGAGTCCGCCTCAGTCGATACTTCACTTTTATCATAAATTAATGATGTTCGAGAGGTATCACCTTTTCTTGTTTTTGGTGCTATTGGTTTATTGTGGAAACAGTGTCGGAAGACGGTGAGCGTTAAAGATATTTTCACGAAATTTGGGACGTTAGTTTTTCTTTTATTTCCTTGTATTGTGTTGTGGTCCCCTATAGTGAAGCAGAGTTGATTGTTCTGTTTAGTGTGGTTCGATAAATAAATACATACAGGGTTTGTCCGGAAAGTAATAGGACTGAGGTCGATTTAAAAAAAATTATTGAGCCAATCGTTACAATTCTTTAAAAACGTTCAAAATAGGCTTCTTCTGCGTCGATGCAGCGCTACCAGCGCGATTTCCAAGCATTGAAGGCGTCACGGAAGGCATTCTCCGGAATAGCCTTTCATGGGCCTTTTCAGGCGAGCAAACAAAAAAAAGTCCGGGGAGGGGGGCGCACATCTGGGCTGTAGGGCGGCTGCGGAAACGTTGGTCAGGTAGCTGTCCACAAGAAAGGCGGTGTGAGCCGGGGCGTTGTCGTGGTACAACTTCCAGTCGGCTGCGATGTCTTGTCGGACCCGATTGACGCTTCGTTTGAGTCTCTTGAGCACTTCCACGTAAAACTTGGTGTTGACGGTTTGTCCAGGAGGAACAAATTCATGGTGGACGATGTAGAAACAAAGTAATTTATTGCGTAAAATACTTTAATTGTTTACTAATTATACATCCCGACGCTTTCTAATATTTTTTTTTAAGTCTGTGTAATTATAATTTATTTCAGATAAAACTATTTATTTTACAGAGCACATAAATTTAGCATTCAATTAAGAGTATTTCTTAGAAAAAAGTTTCGCTTTTATGAAGAACTTGGCGTGTTTTTCACACTTGGCAGTCGGGAGAAATCAGTTGCCTTGTTGGAAGATGCTTCGTACATCATTATCATTATAATTCTATTAAAAATTCTGATCATCCACCCTCTATGTCAGAAATCGTAAGATATTTGTTAACTTCCTTCTCTTTCTTGCGCAAAAGTAACATTTAAGAAATAGCTTTTCATAGAGAAGTCTACCAAAAAGGACGCACTATGTAAAAGCATATTTGAAGTACATTAAATTGATGTACAGTCCATTTCAATTTGTTAGAATTGTGACCTTGAAGAAATCTGCACGAAGATAGAAAGATAACACACTAGGCGTGAGCAAGNTTTGAGTCTCTTGAGCACTTCCACGTAAAACTTGGCGTTGACGGTTTGTCCAGGAGGAACAAATTCATGGTGGACGATGCCTTTCATGTCAAAAAAGACAAAGAGCATCGTTTTCACTTTGGAATTGCTCATTCTTCCCTTTTTTGGGCGAGGAGACGCCGGCGTGTGCCATTCGGAAGATTGCCTTTTGTCTCGGGATCATACTCAAAGATCCATAACTCGTCACCTGTGATTACGTTATTCAAAAATTGGGGGTCACTTTCACACATGTTTAAATACTCTTGCCACACTTCCACTCGCCGCAATTTCTGGTCGTCAGTGAGCACTTTTGGGACCATCTTCGCGAACACCTTGCGCATGTTCAAATGCTCCGTCACAATGTCATGAACCACAGATTTTGGTAAATTTAATATCTGGGCAATTAAACGAATACTTAGTCGACGGTCTGAGTTCAAAACATTGTCGGTGTTTGTCGAAGTCGAAGGTCTTCCAGCACGGTCTTCACCGGCCCATTTAAAAGGTCTGGTGCCACCGAAACATATTAAACGTCTCTGTCGCAGATTTACCGAGTTTCACACAGAATTTAATCGCTTACCTCTGCTCTAACGAACGCTGCATTTTCGGCTTGCACCACTCACAGAAACACGTCGCGCGAAAAAGCCTGTTCTGACTCTCCAGGTGCTCGGAGACAACTCACCAGCCACTCGTTCATTAGCTAAGAATGCCCTCTACCGAATCCAGTCGGTGTGCGCACGCTTCGAAGTACAGTCGCGGCGGAAGAAAATCAGTCCTATTACCTTCCGGACAAACCCTGTACAATAAACTCTTCAAATTTTAAAATATCCTTTCTCTTTTGTTTTTTAGAGTTCATTTGAAGATAGTAGTTCCTCATCTCATCAAACATCTCACCCATACACATACAGTGTATGTTCATAAACCGAAACCAAGTTATCATGTACAACCAATTTACGACAACTACTATAAACCTCCTTACAAGTACAGCACAATCTACGGAAGGAATTATTTAAACAAGCCAAGTCCACCAAGATACGCTCCGGATTATCCTGTAACTAAACTAATACCTGTTGTATCAAAACCCATATTTGTAATTAACCCGAGTCGTCCGAAGCCAGTGGATGATGGTAGACACGATTTTTATGCGGTATCTGAAGATCCGAATCCTGTAGACGATGAGTTCGAAAAAACCATAAAACAACACAAATATAAAGACGTAAAGGATTACAAGAAGTTCCACAAGAAAGAGGAATATGACTTCAAAAAGGGCAAAAATTTTGAACGCCATCATAACAAGGATTACGATTTTGGGCACGAGCATGGAAAGCACGGAAAGAATGTTTTTGGGCATGACGGACATTATATGAAAAATCATAAAATATTACAGTCAGGTGATTATAAAGTTGATCCAGACCTGGTGGTGTTTACAGAAAAGTCTCCAATTGTGATGAGTGATCCCGAATTACAAACTGTTTCAATAACGGATGTTTCTGAAGGTATTCAAGACCATCATGGACTTGTTGAAGAGGATCCGATGCCTGGCAGAAATGATTCAAGCAATTACGTTTACGACAGCGGTACATTTCTGGATGTCAATCCTGTTAATGTCGACAGTGCCAACAAGAATAACGTAGAGTCAGATTATTTGGATCCAAATGATGATGAGGGTCTAAAACAATACGAAGTAACGGAAAATTATAGTGAAGAACAAGAATATTCTGCACCAGGTCCAGAAGAAGAAGAAAAAGCTGACCTAAAAGACGCTCAAATCATCAATGGGCCCGATCAACCTCATGCTTTCGGAGAAGAACACAAAAAGGAGCTGAATGAGGATGGAATACCTGAAGGTCAATTGTTGAATATTCCACATGATCCTTCTGAAAGTAGCGAATGGTCAGCTGGTTATGATTCAAAAAAGGATGAGACGCTCAAAGATATAGACGCGGAGGTTAAAGAACCTGAAATAAGCAATAGCGACAACAAAAACAATGAGGTTTATGCAAATCATAAAGTTCGTACTGTAATTCCAGGTCAACAAGATGATGGGTTTATGAAATGGGCGGTCACTAATGGAGCTTTTGGTTTAGGCTATTCAAAAGATTTTCAAATAAAACCTCAAAGGAGTGTTGTCCAGGGTCAGGCTAGTCAAAAAGTATACACACTTAACTCTCCCTATCGATATGATTCGTCAGGAATTGTTCGAGGATGATGTCATTCATGAGTGTATTAACTAAGATGCTTATAGAGTTAATAATTTCTAAAGGTTGTAAACTTATAAATGTGTATATATGTATATATTTTATAATCACAATTTTAGTTAATTAATTGTGTGACTTAATACACTGGCGGCATGTGAATAAAGTCACGGAAGCACGTGTCCAGCTTTTCGATCTCTGTTAATTTCTGAAAAATTCAAAAGATTCGAGTCTCTCCATTAATTTACTTGAGAAATTTAGTCATATGGACACGGTCCCAGTGAACTTTTTTGATGTTTTGTGCACATTTAGATACATGGACTATTCATTTGATTCCATTCACGGCTATATTTGTTAAATACGTCTCCAAATTTTTCGTACAAAAGTTTTGAGAGGGTAATAAGTCTTTTTCACGGTCCGCTACTGACTACCATTTTCTAAGTACTAATGGTGTCGTTGGCTTTCTTTAAAATTTGATCTACAGTTGTTCGATAGGACACATGCAGACTGAGTTATATATCTTTCTATTTTTGTACTCTATGATGGTTTAATTTTGTTACAATTTGGATGAAATGAAGTAGTATCATATTTTAATTAGATTATCTACATTGGACATACTTTGATCCAATTATTTATTGATAATAATTAGTTAACTAGAGACCTCGTTATGTAAAACAATTGTACTACACTTTTCTTTGAAATTGTTATTAAACTTGATGATCATTAGTAATCAAAGACGCGATAATTGGGTTCTGTGAGAAAGTGTCTATTTATGAAAAAGAATAAAAAAATTATTTATTTTGTACCAAAATAAACAATAATAGAGAAATCACATCAACAAAAAACAGGTAACAAATTACACTATAAATAGGAAGACTAGTAGAGAGTCACTGTACATTAAATAATATAATTAATTATATACAAGTTATGAAGTCAACTCATCGTCATCACTGATAACCTCCTTGTTCTCCTCCATAACCTTCGTCACCTTGGCTACCGAATTCCTCACCCTGAGCTACAGCGTAGCCACCACCATAATCACCGCCCCCCATATCACCTCCACCCGCTGAGGCGGCTTGTTCAAGTCCTCCATGACCTCCTTCGAAACCTTCACTATAACCTGCACTAGCTTCTATTCCACCTCCGCTAGTGTGACTGCCAATATCTCCAGTTTCTTGACCTGACGACGATTCCAATGATTCGGCGTGTCCACCTCCGAAACCTCCTCCAAAACTACCCCAATCGTGACCACCTCCGCCTCCACCTCCACCTCCACCGTGCGCTTCAACTTCATGACCATCGTCGATTCCACCGCTATATCCGATCACTTTGTAGAATTCCTTGTCACCGCCACCATGGTCGACGTGCTTTACCACGGTGTGAGTATGGTGCACTGTCTTTACTTTGAATGGAACGTGGATTATTACTTTTTTATCTCCCCTGAAATACAAAAATTGTTATAAAAGATGATCCAAAATTGAATACCCTCTTTTCTACAATAAGGTTATGAATTTAATAAAGTATAATCCGGTTATAACGAAAGTCCACTATAACTACAGAGCTGTCCTTATATCCAAATATGGTAACTGATTAAGGGTCTTTATGCGTCGATATAAGGGAAGACTCTATAATTGCAAAACCAACAAAAAGTATAAAATGTCGTCGTTATATCCGAATGGACGCTATATAAGAAGTAGTTATAAACATAGTAATTTGACAATGTACAGAATGTGATGCTTTTGTAACATCTTTATTTATATTAGCACTATCATTACAAAAGAAAACCGACAATAGTTTTATAACTAAAAACTGTACTGAAATGTTACAATCCTACAATTTAAACCATTAAATATATAATTTTAATTCAAATTAATAATTGTAAATGTCTTTAATAAAACAGTAATTGAAAATAAAATTATGAGAAATTAAATAAAAAAATAATGTACTCACCCTCCTCCACCACCCCCCGCGGTGCATAGTTCAATAACGGCCAGAAAAACCAAAAAAGCAGTCTGAAAGTGTAAGTATTCTTTTAATACAATTTATTAAGAAACAAACAAAAAAAAATAAAAAATTGTTTAAAAGTTATGGAATAATTAAACCATGCACATATATTTTTTTGGCAGGATGTGTTTTTTGAATTTTTAGATGTCTTCAAACTTTAAAATCCAATATAACATGCACTATAAGATATCTGAATTATTTTTGTTAAAAAATAACAATTATCTTTATTATAATTGGATCACAATTTCCTATAT